ACAAGTGCAAGAGCACCAACGCCCATCCCAAAGCCTCTGTACAGCTGCCCCAGTCCCGTATTATCCAGCGTCCAATAGAGAGGAAAGTTCAAGATGCTGTCCATGCCGGCCGGGTCCGAACCACTGCCGCCAGTGGCAGACGAGCTGGCCGTAGGGTTCAGCGAGTCCGTTTGCCAAAGTGCGCCTTTCGTCGCTTCCTGCTCATAAACTTCGCCCATACAGAAGACTCCGGCGGTTTGACAGAACGGTGGCCAAAAGTCACCTCGGACATGTTTTGCTGCATCAAGACGGAGGCCATCGATATTGTATTGCTGGACAAAATCTTTGATCCAAGAGGAGTAGGATGAGATAACTTCGGGATCTTCGGTATTCACGTCCATTAGTGCAACCTTGGTATCTCCCATCCAGCAATGCTGCTCTGATTGCATATCTCCATATCGCATAGGGCAGTAGGGGTGGTATTGCTCCTAAAGCAGTACTGTCAGAAACGTGAACAGGCGAGCCTCTTGGACATACGGGTTTCGTGAAGTAGTATGAAGAGTAGTCCGTTGGCGCTGTAGTAAGGGAAGCAACATGGTTGACAACGATATCGACCATAAGTAGCATCCCTCTCCGATGGACTTCATCGCTGAGACTCTTCAAATCTGCAGCTGTACCAAACCGATCGTTGAGCTGGCCAATATCAGTCACCCAGTATCCATGGTATGCGTCTCCATATGCCGTACGTGGACCGTCGTAATTCTTGTGTACGGGAGAGATCCAGATAGCGGAGAAGCCCATTGATTGGATATAGTCCAGATTCTCGGTGATAGCGTTCCATGTTCCTCCACAGAATGCTTGATCCGCGACGTTGCAAGGTGTTGATTGAGGGAGGGATGAATGCAGAGCGAATCGGTCGGTAATAATTCTGAGTAGCGACTGTAAGCAAGAAGGACTGATGAGCAAAGAAATAAAGAACCACGCACTGGTAAATAGTTCGTTCTTTCCACTCGCTAGCGGTAGCTCCAAGAGCCACTGGAAGCAAATAGGGTAGAAAAGGTATCAGGAGTGGTGTGCACTGGAGTAGCATATTAGACGCAGATTCTGATATTTTAATACCAAAATGAAAAGATCGTCGCTTAAAGAATGACTTTCTTGCACTAGGTGCAATGGTTTGGAAGGGAGCAACGAAATGAGGCAAAGCAAGGTCGAGTCTGGGTAGATGGCCGGACGAAAATAACTTTCGGCAACTTTAAATAGACTACTGACCTCGATACGGCATTGGAAAACTACTGAGGATGGGGAAGTTCCAGCGTTGACGATACTAAATACAACGCCTGAAGGCCAAAGGAGGCACCAAAGGGGAGTTAGAAGGCAATACTCCTTTTAGAGACAGTAATGAGTTTAAACGATGACATGAAACCCTATTTCTTGAGCGACCGTTTCCCTGTCCTCTCGTTTGGGATTCGGTTGGCGTCTCATAAAGATACAACTAACATTCGCGTTCGAATGTGATTTATGAAATGTGTTCTTTCATACTAAGCAAGTATTCAGATGAATCTAGCCTGGCGAACAGGATCCCCCGGACATGGTCAGAGTTCAAGATGCATGCCGTTGCGTTCGTTCGTACAAAATTAACAACGTCATCGGAACTGGAAAAAGGTGCATTAAAAGGATTAGGATTCATTTCCAGCGTGCTTAAATCTTACACAGGCCATTCAATATTTGGTAAGAAGTGAGCTTCGGACGTGCATTTGTCCAACAAAATTACAATCCTCTTTCATACGTATAATCAGTGGTGAAACCATCACCATAACCCAAATTCCAATATCAGCCCGCATACCTCAAGTAGCGAGGACCTAGATCTCTGCCCATCCCTCTGGCTCCTCACCCGTGATCAAGCCCAAAACGAGCACAAGTGCAAGAGCACCAACGCCCATCCCAAAGCCTCTGTACAGCTGCCCCAGTCCCGTATTATCCAGCCACCCATCAATACCCTCGCTCTCAATCTCCGCTCTCGCCTTTTCAATCTCCTTTTCGACCTTTTCACCCAAAGAACCTCCAGCCTCGGCTTGTGGAACACCTTGAGGAGAGTGAGCAGTATGTTGTTGCGAAGCACGTCGCTCGCTCATCCTCATCTCTTCACTGAGCATCCTCGGTCGGTGGCTAGTACTCGCAGCGGCAGAAATTTCAGCATCAAAGACAGACCGCACGTCTCGTTTACTCCCCGGCCCACCAGATAGACGAGGTTTAGAGGTCTTGCCTTTTCGTGCTTTTGGCGTCATGGATGCGCGAGCCGAGCGCATAGAAGGCCTTCGGCTCGATTTTTTACGCTTAGGAGGAGGAGAACGCTCTTCTGTGAGTATTCTCCATAGACAGTCGAATATGCCGGTATAAGGGCGAGGAGAAAGGTGGACGCAGCTAGACACCATTTCGTCACCGTCATAACTGGCCGTGGAAGATTTAGAACGGTTTGAATTTTCGACATCTGGTAATCCGTGGACGGCGACTTGCGCTTGGAGGCGTCGTCGGATTGTCTCTATTGGTATCGTGATACCGAGTCCAATCACTCCACCAATAAATTCGCACAACGGATACATCCAGACATTCACCCCGATCCTAACACCCGTCATATTTTCAATTATACGTGGCATAAGAAGTGAAATAAGTGGTCGAAGGGTGCTGTCTAGCAAAGCGGGGTATAAAAGAGTCGGGTGTGAATAAAGAGACCCTAATGTGACGGGTACTTCTGAGTTCTTGTTTGACGTGACTAGCGAGAAGAGGGTGAAAGGTGAGGGAGACGGACGCGGGTGGATTATTTGCAAAGTCCGTAAGGTGTCCAAAGGAGAAAGGATGACACCAGTTATTATGTGTGATGTAAGTGGCAAAAGTATCGAAGGGAAAAAGTGGGATTGAGAGTGGAATGGGAATATCGGTCGGAGGACGGAGGACACAGAAGGTTGAATCGTAGTGGTCAATAGGGAGAGCGTAACGGATGTTAAAAGGCCTAGATGCATAAGTTAGCGGTGCTCTTGCCCAATTTTGCATACATTATAGCCTACCTTTCCATAGGCTCCCCCAACCTTCTGTTCTCGACCGTCCGACACGCTTCATCATGCCCCAAACCCCATCGGCGGGACCGTAGGCAATTATAAGTGGCGAACCGTTTATTCTTCCGCCGTTATTAGATAGCTGAATGAGGAGTCATGAAGCCGCCAACGTGATTGAGAGAGAAACACTACGCACACCAACGCTCATCTTCCTCGTATTCAAAAGAGGTCTTGCACGTGCCTGACGCGTCTGGCGCGTTGGGGAGGTAGGGTCGTGAAAATAAGAGTCATCGGTAGAAGATTCGCTCTAATCAGGAAAGGAAGGGGGAGAATTAGCACAACGGCCTTGAACGTGCATCGCGAACGCACCAGTTCGTCATTATCATCTTCCTCCTCCAGCTCCAACTCCAGTTCTAGATCAAAGTCGGGTATAGGGGCATCTTCTATGCGTTTTGGGACCCACTGAACTTGCAACAGAACCTTACCGACCTCCCAAGGCATGGCGATAGCTGTTGTTGTATACTGTAAAAACGCAGAAGCTAGCAACGCTTTGAGGGCGACTCTTGGTGCATGTGATCCGTATGCTGGTCCATCGTAGCCTGCATATCCGTACGGGAACGAACCAGCCGCATACGAGCTGCCAGTGTAAGTGGACGGTGCGGCTCCAATAAAGGACGAATTTCCTGCACCAGCATAAGGGCGTCCAGCAGGGTTGGATGTTCCCCACTTTAACGTGTCGACTCGTGAATTCAAGTTTGCATTACTGGTTGATGAAAAAGAGGTGGAAGAACTCGGCATTGGAGGTGACGCAGAAGGTGGTCCGGTATGGTTGGTTTGTTGAGGAAAGTTCCAAGACTGCACTGGTTGAGTGTACAGATCTCGTAGTGAAGTCGGTTTTGGATCCGATGACATGCTCGTCAAGGTTGAAGTTTTGAGCGTTGCCTCACCAGTTGGTGAAATCCAAGAGGCCAACTTGCTTTGTCACATTCTTCGACTTTGTTGGCCAAGTGTAACTCGTGTACTATGGACCAAGATTGATACATCACGATGATAATGGAGGAAAGGTTCTCTAAAATTAGTTGAGGGCAGAGCTTCTGTTGATTTAGGATAGTTTGGCATTAGCCGGTTTTATATCAGAATCTGAGCTAAACTAGTTTCGAGCAGATGAAAGACAGCACTGTCATGTACGTAATAGATTCTATGTGTTCTGTCAGAAACCAAACATTTGATCGTATCAGAGATGGAAGCGTTGAGTGAGGCAGAACCTCTCGTAGTGCTTTCTTCCACGCAGGTGATCTTCATCCAGCCAAGAGTAGACTTGCAGGATAGAAACGAGTGTAAGTCTGCTTGTACACGATATGTAGAGAGTTCACGTCGGTCGTACGAGATATGGCCTGGGTTATCAAAGACATCTATTCCACTACATTTCATAGCTATACATTGACCGTTATTCGGAGAGATGAATAGTTCTCTGCTCTCGTAATTGCAAGAGTGATCAGCTTTATCCGAGTTTAAACATTCGCGTTTCAATCCGACGCATGACATGACACTACCGCTATTGCTCGGTATCCCTTTTTGCTCCTTCCGAGCTTTAGAACGAGTGCGTCTCGAAAGCTAATTAGATCTGTCGCGGCCTCTGTCGTGCGCATCGTGGTCTATGTTCAAAGTCGAAGCGTGCTGCCATTCGCCATTTTGACAAGAAGCCACAACGTTGCGGCGTGTTCCAATCGTGTTCAATATTCTCTGCA